AATAAGAGGAGGTGCCTAGTCTTACCACAGGTTGATATACCATGCCTGGCTGGTATGTCATTGGAGACCTGACCTTTTCTGAACAGAAAAGAGGAGTGGATTAGAGTGTGGGAAGAAAAGGGAGGAGAGGAAGAAAGGAGGGAAGACTGTGACTGGACTGGAAAAAATTAATTAACTAATTATTTTTTGTTTTTCAAGACAGGTTTCTGTGTTAACAGCGCTGGCTGTCCTGGAATTCACATTGTGTACAACGTTTGCCTTGAAGTCACAGAGAGCTGCCTTCTTCTGCCACCAAGTGCTGAGACTAAAGGCCTGCACTACCACCCCCCAGTAATAAATTTTAAAAATTGTAAAAAAAGACAACCCCCAAAAGAGAACAGTATTTTTTGGTTTTTTGTTCATTTGTTTTGATTGGTTATGTTCTAGGAGTTGGATAATAAACATTGTTTTTAAATACATACATATACATACACAAACCTGCACACACACACACACACACACACACACACACACACACACACACACACATATGCCAACAGTATTTTTGGATAAAAACAGAATTTCTAGGAGAGAAATTTTAATAATAGTATTACTAAAAAATCTGTAAGCAGGAGGAATGGTAATGTGTGATATGAAAATGGAGGGAGGAATTCTGAGAATTAAAACATCAAATGTCGATAGTACTGGGCATAAAGAACAGGAGAGGATCAAAGGTGGATTAACCAAAACTAAGGGTTTACAAAAGGCCTCATGGACACCCACTAGCTAATAAGCTTGCAGATGACCAACACAAAGTAGACTCTTTGTTCCTTTGGTGGTTTGGGGTTGGGGTGTGTGTGTGTGTGTGTGTGTGTGTGTGTGTGTGTGTGTGTGTGTGTTAATATTTTTATCTGATTGGGTGTTTTTTTTTTTTTTTTAAAGCACTTGTTTTTTTTTTTTTTTTTTTTTTGGTTTTTCGAGACAGGGTTTCTTTGTGTAGCTTTGCGCCTTTCCTGGAACTCACTTGGTAGCCCAGGCTGGCCTCGAACTCACAGAGATCCGCCTGGCTCTGCCTCCCGAGTGCTGGGATTAAAGGCGTGTGCCACCACCGCCCGGCTGATTGGGTGTTTTTTACTTTATCTTCACTTTTGTTTTTGTTATGGGGAGAGAAAAAGAAAGAACTTGAGGAGGATGTGGGAGATTTTAAAGGGTGGGAGAGCTGATCAAAATATATTCAAATGAAAAATGAAATTGAAAAGGAAAATATAACCATAAAAAGAGTTAGAACCACTTGCTATGGGATGTTCTGTATGGCAAATGTGTTGCTGATTAGTCAATAAAAAGCCGGGCGGTGGTGGCGCACGCCTTTAATCCCAGCACTTGGGAGGCAGATCCAGGCGGATCTCTGTGAGTTCTAGGCCAGCCTGGGCTACCAAGTGAGTTCCAGGAAAAGGCGCAAAGCTACACAGAGAAACCCTGTCTCGAAAAAACCAAAAAAAAAAAAAAAAAAAAAAAACAAACACTGATTGGCCACTGGCTAGGCAGGAAGTGTAGGCAGGACAAGGAGGAGAATAAAGCTGGGAAGTGGAAGGCTGAGTCAGAGAGACACTGCCAGCCACAGCGATGACAAACAGCATGTGAAGATGCCGGTAAGCCACGAGCCATGTGGCAAGGTATAGATTAATGGAAATGGATTAATTTAAGCTGTAAGAACAGTTAGTAAGAAGCCTGCCACGGCCACACAGTTTGTAACCAATATAACTCTCTGTGTTTACTTGGTCGGGTCTGACGGCTGTGGGACTGGCAGGTGAGAGAGATTTGTCCTGACTGTGGGCCAGGCAGGAAAACTCTAGCAACAAACACTACTGTGGGATGTTCTCGATGCTGTGAATGTGTTGTTCTGATTGGTTAATAAATAAGTGCTGATTGGCCAGACGGGAAGTATAGATGGGACAATCAGAGAATTCTGGGAACAGGAAGGCTGAGTCAGAGAGATGCTGCCAGCCGCCGCTATGAGAAGATGTTAAGATATCCGTAAGCCAGGAGCCACGTGGCAACTTATAGATTAAGAGAAATGGGTTAATTTAAAACATAAGAACAGCTAGCTAGAAGCCTGCCATGGTCATACAGTTTACAAATAATGTAAGTCTCTGTGTGTTTACTTGGTTGGGTCTGAGTGACTGTGGAAATGGTGGGTGAGAGAGATTTGTCCTGACTGTGGGCCAGGCAGGACCAGAAAACTCCAGCTACAAACCACAGAAAACATGAGTTATTAAATGAAAATCAAAGTATAAAGCAGGAGATACATCCAGAGGAATTATTGGTCAGAGATACTGCAGAGGTCTCCACACCAGCACAGCATATTGCCATTACCTTTGGTTACCAACCATAACTACGTGGTAAGACCTGATTGCTAAGACACCACACACTGTGATGTCAGGACACAGATAAATCAATTTCAAATCAATCAGGAAACTTCTTTCCTTGAGCTATTTTTCAAAGGATGAGAAGGTGATTTTCAGGCTGCTGGGGAGAAGAGATATGAATGGTCTTACCCAGCACTGAAGCCTGCGTTCTTCAGTACTGACCTGCTGGGCAAGATGTGCCCAGTGGTCCCATTGTTATAGGATAACTAAGTGTTTTCTTATTAGAGTTGAGATCTTTACTATATAAGTGATATCGTGTTTGCTATTGTAATCCAAATCAAAAGTCCATGAATGTGGAGGTCAAGGGCCCTAGGGTGGAAACTGCTACAATCATGTAGATAAGTGGGCATGTAGTCAAATTGTACTCTTAGTACAAGTGTTTATGGCCTAGACCTGGGCTGCTCTCAACCTTGGTCAGAGAAGCTTCTTTTGCAGTAGTCTGTAATCAGTGCAGAGCAGCAGAACTAGTCAAAGTTCAGAAGAGAAGAGAAAATGTGTTTAGCTAGCCCTATGAAGACAACTTCAACTCCCTTCCCTTCAACACCATCCCGAGACTCAGGGAACAGCAGGGAAGAGAAAGTGGGAAAAAATATAAGAGCCTGATGATAAGAAAAGCTCCATGAAATCCTGCAATCTGGACACGACAAGGCTTTCATACTCACAAACTCACAGCAGCTGTGGTAATCTATATGAGACCTGAACAAGATCAAGCCAGCCAAAATTCCAGCATAGTTGGAGAGGGGCCCTCTATCTCTTAAGGAGATAGTATTATTAGTTGACTGCTATTGGAAACAGGAGACACATTCTTATTAAGTTTGTGGCCAATGGGAGGTGTCCTTGCTCCAGTGGATGGTCTACAAACGTCCACCAGTGGACAGTATCAACTAAGAAAACATGAGTTAGATGGGAACACCTTAGGTACAGTCAGGGGAAGGTTGAGAGGGCAAGTAGTGGATGATATGATCATATTTTATTCTGTATATGTATGATAATTTTAAGAAATGGTATTATAAAGAAAATCAATGAACAGTTTTCTATCAGAACGAACTTAGAGCTTATAGACTACAGCAACCTTGAAATGAAAAGTAGATATGCATTGCATATATATTGTGTTTTTATATTTATAAATTAATAATTATATAAGCTAACTACAGAAACAAGTCAAGTGTATGTTTAAGATACACTCATAATATCATTCATGATGATTAAGTTATTTCACATGATCCTAATCTTTGGTTTTTTGTGCCCTCTGAGTCTTAGAACACACAACCCTGAGCTGTGTTCAGTATTACATCACTAGCAGTCAGCTTCTAAACTATTCCTCTTCCCTGTCTAACACTTGCTCAAACACTGTCTTATACACCTTGTCCTGACCTGTGAACTCCATAGAAAATGGGGAAAGACGTGAAATGAGAGAAAAGCCTTTGCAACCCTCCTCCCAACTCTGCACCACTGTTAGAGTGTGAGGGTTCAGGAAACTCACAATTTAGATGGGCCATCGCCAGTCCATTGCCATTCCCCTTTGCTTCCATTATATTTTAATCCAATCCAGTATCTGTGTGCAGTAACATGTGACTGTAAGAACTTCTGTAAGAGAAATAACACATATTGTGATAAAATGTCTGCCTGCTAAGAAAAGAACAGGGTAACAGTCCCCAGCTATTCTTGTATCATTTCTCTGCTGTCCTGTCCTCCAGCACTTCAGTCCCTCCAAGTTCATTTTTAAAGTGGTTTCCCACTAGTAGCTCATTTATGTAAAAACCTATGACAGTTACATAAGTTATTTAAAATGAAAACTTCAGGTGTCTAGAGATACTGGATTCATGAAATGATTTGTGACCGTGTTTCTCAGAGAAAATATCACTGTGTAGCCAAGGCTAACATTGAACTCAGAGTCTCCCAGCTTCAGACCCTGGCTCCTTAAGTAAGCCCAACACTTTATGAAATTTTCAAATACACATTTTAGAAGAACACAGAAGCATGTGTGAAGTGTTCAACTTAAGTGACTCCCCCTTTCTAAAAAAAATCTAATTAATCCAGATGATAAGTCTAAGTCCTGTGTGAAAAGCTGTGTGCTATCCTCCATGTTCCAGCAATGAAGCCATGCTGTTACTTAGATCCCAAAGTGACAGAACTTGAGGAAGTGTGAGATACTTGGAAGTAAATAGTGTGTCTTATATGTGACACATGAGTGGAATGATACCTAATAAAATTACTGAATATATTTTATGATATAAGTTTAAATTTACCCATGTTTACTGTATCAAATGAAAAATTATATTATTACTTGACATTAAAATTTATTTTATGATGTAATTATTCAGACATGTATTAAATTGGTGAAAAAATTGTGCATCATATTCTAAATGACAAAGTTTTCAAGCTGATTATTCAACCATTTCTCTAGAAAAATATCCCCTATGTATTTGAAGAAACTTTTTTAGTAACAAATGTAAACAGTTAATGTCAGGATCCTGGCCACTTGTTTTCCTATAAATGTTCATTTCCAAAGATAGATTTTTTATGAAATATAAGAATATTTGGAGTAAATATGATGGGCAGATTCAGTGAAAATCAACTAACAGGAAAAACTGTTTAATTCCCGGTTCTCATATAATTTCCATTTGGCAGATTGTCCCAGAGCTCAGTTACTTTCTCTTTTGTCATCCAGTTACCCATCTCAGACAATCTCACTTCTGGATTGCAAAGAGCAAACTCTGGACCATGGTCTCTCTGGGTGTAGGTGGCACTCTATAGAGATAAATAACTGTCAGTCACAAGATGTGCTATACCAAAGGGCTAAACTTATTCAGGGAAAACATGCTTCTCTGCAGGATTGTCTGGCAGATTTCTGGCAAAGGGAAGAGACTGCAAAGACAGGACTGTCTCCTTAGTGTCCTGACACTAAATAGGAAGTAGGAAGGAGTGGACTAGAACAGTCTTACTGTATGATTTTTGCTCGAATTACAGGAAAACCACATACAACTTCAGAAAGGACTCTTCTTTTTTCTTTTAAATATCTGGGCTCAATATTTCACTCTCAAGGGTTCGAGAAGGAGTCTAAGAATAAAGAAGCATGTAAGAGTCTATGGTACCGGTTCATCATCATCATCTATCTTCAAAAGGGATAAGCTGCAGTCCTGGCAGGTCTGTTTACATCCACTCCAGCGTTTATCAATCATGATGAAATAATAACATTTTATGCCACAGCAGAACAAGTGTCCTTCAACAGGTTTCCCTACAACAGAGAAGGGAATGGTAAAAATTCTTATTTTCTGGTATTCTGTTATTAGGACTGTGGTGATATTTTGTATATGCTTGACTAAAGATCTAGGGCAGAGCTAGTCACGGAGTTAGCCATAGAGGCCAGGCAGTGGTGGCACACACCTTTAATCCTAGCACTATAGGTGGAGGCAGATGGATTTCTGTGACTTCAAGGCCACCCTGGACTACATGAGATTAATCCAGTCTAAAAGAGAAACAGAGTCAGGCAGTGATGGCTCACACCCTTAATCCCAGTACCTGGGAGTCACACACCTTTAAGCCCAGCACTAGGAAGGTTGAGACAGGGAGAGACAAGGCTGGGCAGAGAAAAGAATATAAGGCAAGTGGAGATAAGACTCAGGGGCATTCAGTCTGAGGATTCATGGAGACAGGATCTTCCTTTTTTGGCTGAGGAGTTGTTGAGGTGAGAAGTGGCTGTGGCTTGTTTCCTCTGATCTTTCAGCATTTACCTTAATACATGTCTCCGGGTTTCTGTTATAAGACCTATTAGGATTTGTGCTACAGAAGAATGTATTTATTACAAATCTATAACTAAGTAAAACCTCACAGCTCTCAAAAAGTGAGACACTAGAATGCTGAGACCCCTGCACACCCATGTTCTATGCAGCCTTGTTCATAATAGAGATAGGGATAAAATTTAAGTGTTCATTATGGATGAATCAATAGAGAAAATGTATCATATACACACAAAGGAATACTATTTATCCTTGACAGGGAAGAAATCCAAGTGGGCATGATGACTTATGCCTGCCTACAAATACAGCACTGCATAGGCTGAGGCATGAGGTTCACCTCTAGTTTGAGGTCAGCTAGGTTAAGCAGTGAATTCCAGGCCAGCCTTGACTATATGTGGTGAGTTCCAAGGCAGGCTGGGCTATAGAATGAAACCATTTTCACATCTAACGCCCTAAAGAGAAATCCTGACCTAAGTGACCAACTGTGTAGTAAGAGTCTCTCAGGTGACTCCTGACTGCTGCTCACTTAGTGTCAGGACTAAGTGTCCTGTTATGAGCCGATTCATTACTAATGAGACAGCAGGCCTTTGCAATAACTTCCCTTTCTCAGAAGTCTACAAGAAAGTGTTTCAGAGAAGCATGGATGAACTTGAAGACAGAATGCAAAGTGTGACAACCTAGGGCCAGGACCATACTTTTTGATTTCACTTAGTTGAGGTTTACAGCACAGCCCATTTCTAAGAAGCAGAGGTTTGTAAGATCCCATGGGCTGGAGGGAGGGGAAATGAGCACTTGCTGCTCAGAGGCAGTCACATGGATGATGCAATGCTAGGTCTGCAGTGATACACTGTGCCAACAGTGGCCCACATGCTACTGTATACATACAGCTGTGCTCTGGTCTATGTTAGATGCTCTTACCTTAATAGAAATAAGAGACAAACAAGGAAGCTTTTAATGGTGATTTTCTGTTCTCCTGCCTTCAAGGGTACACCCACATGCCCAAAGTATCAAATCTGAATTAAAACCTGTGTAGTTTACATAGCTACAACCTCTCGATAATTTATTTATTTGGTCTGTGCTAGGGACCCCCATTCTCTATTAATAAACCTTTATGTCGAACCCTTGTTTTTCTGAGAAGAGGTATCAACACTCTGTAGTTCAATCTGGCTTGTTATTTGCTGGACACCTAGACTGTCCTCAAATTTGCAATCTTCCTGTCTCAGTGTTTTAATCACAAGCATTGCAGATTCATGCTACCACTTAGAGATGGTAGTTATGTTATTATAAAATAATAATATAAAACATTTTTGATGAGTCTGAAATGCCTCAATGACTATTTGGAGACTTCCTCTTTGTCACACATTCTAAAATTTACCAGTTTTAAAGCTATTATTAGTCCTTGAATAATGAAGATCATCAACCCCTGCTATCATGCACAGTGAGATCATATTTAAGAGTTCTTGTGAACATTAACTTTGGGAAAGAAAATTTAATAATGAATGATAAACTGTGTCAAATAATGTTAACCAGTCACGATGCAAGGAAAGAAAGGTTCCTTGTAACGATTGATATTTCATCTCTGTGTCATTCAGAGACAGATATACACCAGTGTGGGCACCATGGTGAAGTTCCCATGTGTGCTGCAGTGAGCTTCACTATGGTCACACACAGGCCAGCTCTCTGATACCAAGGCAGAAGGAAAATACACATACATACAAACACACACACACACACACACACACACACACACACACACACACACACAGCCAAACACAATTATTTTTATGACTGCATCCATTTAAATGCTTTAAGTTCATTTCATCCTAAGAATTTGGTAAATACTCTCTTACTGGAAACTTCCACATTCTATCAACAAAAGAAATGGGGACTCAGATTTGACCTCTCATGAAAACAACCTGAATTCTCAGCTGTGCTGACTGAGCTTCCATCCCCTGGGAGCCGTGGGAGACAGGAAGGACACTGAGTTCTAGAAACTAATATTTTCCTAATCCAAACAGAGATTTCCAGGGTTCTAGGCCCTTCCATGAGACAAGGAAACACCACCCATTAGCTCAGGGATCACCAGCATTGTTAGCTGCTAACTGGACTTCAAATCTTCTGGAGAGGAATCAATACAGAATAATGCAATCTTTATTCAATATCCCCTCCTTACCTGTGTGCTGTACACAATCAAATACAACCTTAGTTTTTCCACAGCATCTGTTCTGTTTTTTATTGAGAGTGTCTGGGTCCTTCTGATGTTTGAAGTCATCACACCCTGTAGACTTATTTCTCCAAGTTTCATTTAAGCAGTTATTATTTTGCATGGTGGTATTCCTTTGATTGGGGTTGTTTAGATTTTTCTGTAGTTCATGGTTTTCTTGACTATATTGGAAAACTAAAATTAACAAAAGATAAAACTCAAAAATGGTTACAAATACTAAATATTGAAATTTAAGATATAAGAAAAGCCCCCATGTTGACAACATATATTATTACTTCAATTACTATTTTGACATTTAGAAAATAACACCTCAATTAATTCATTAAAGAAATGGAAACATTAATTTCCCTCTACCAGAAACTTCCGTATAAAGTAAATGATAAAGCAGAATTAAATTATGGTGGAAGCACATTGCCTCCAATTCCTTTGATTTTTCTCAGCATAAAACTTACAAATAAATATCTAACTAAAGAATTCAGTCAACTTTAACATCCACTGAAAATGTGAATTAAGGAACATAAAGAAATGGCACAATTCTCAAAAGACCAGATGGAAAGCATAATATCCTGATACATAGGTATATTTTAGCACATCCTGGGAGTGATTTCTTCTAAACATGTAAAGGAATCTAAGAAGGCTGAAGTGTTAAGGTCTCTGTACATATCTAGTCTTTTTACATAACCGTGTCCTCATTATAGACTGAGGAAAATGAAAAGAAGGTCATCATTTCTTTTGCACAGCTGTTTCTCACAGAATGTTTACCTAAGATTCCCAGTCTCTTCAGCTCAGAAGGCAGACCATCACCAAGTTCTCAGAATGAACATGACCATGAATGAGAAAGTACAAAAGCTCTCAACAGCCCCAAAGTGAATGAAATAGGTTTGTAAGAGAAAGGGACACTGTAGTGTGCCAGGATTAAAAACATCCTAAGAAATGGGCAGTGGTGACTCAAACCTTTGATTCCAACACTCAGGAGGCAGAACCAGGCAGATATCTGTGAGTTCCAGGCCAGCCTGGTCTTCACAGCAAGATCCAGGACAGACACTAAAACTACACAGAGAAACTTTGGCTCTCGAAAAACATATATATATATATATATATATATATATATATATATATATATGTATATATATGTATATATATGTATATATATAGACGTATAAATATATAGTCTAAGTCCAGTGCTATGTGGCACATCCCCTGATTCTAGGCAGAACAATGGGCAGAGTGTGATAACAGCATAATAAGTGACTGAAGATATTACTTAGCAGAAAGGCAAAGATGTATACTGTTACTCACTGTATGTCACCAACACTGCAACTATCACCAGCAGAATGGAACAAAGGATTCCAAGAGGTATCACAATGAAGTGCCAAGAGACTGAAGATTCTTAAATTAAGAAAATAATCACCATTAAAAAAGCAAGTCCGCCGGGCAGTGATGGCACACGCCTTTAATCCCAGCACTCAGCAGGCAGAGCCAGGCGGATCTTTGTGAGTTCAAGGTCAGCCTGGGCTACCAAGTGAGTTCCAGGAAAGGTGCAAAGGTACACAGAGAAACCCTGTCTTGAAAAACAAACAAACAAACAAAAAGCAAGTCCAAATAATAATTATAATTTTGTGTAGCATGGAGATGATGGGATATTAGTCTCTACAATTTTACAGAACTCCATCATACAAACTTAATGAAGATTGCTTTCAAAATTGTATTGTACCCATTTTAGAAATCTTACATGTGTGAAGTTTCACAGGTTATCAAACTTTTTTCACCTTTGGTCTTGTATTTTTAATCCTCCTGACTCAGTCTAGAAATAGCCGTATGACAGGTACATGCCCCTCACCCAGATCTACAGGATCAAAAGTGCATCCTTCAGAAAGCACTGGAGGCACAGACACAGTCCAGGTAGACAATCCCAAACTGGAGCATGCAGGCCACCAAGGACATATAACTGAGGATGAGGAAGAAGGGAGGAGGGATGGATGTTCTTGAGAACTGTAGGGAACCGTGGCAGTTCTGGAGCTGTCTTGTATACAGGCCCATCCTTAAAGGAGCTTAGAAGTCAACCCTTGATTTTTTTTAGTGTAAGTTCTATTTTTTCTGGATAATACAAAACATCTTTATGTTTCTGAGGTGTTGGGAATCTAAAACTCAAGCCTCCGATTATCAGTATGTCAAAGAAGTTAAAGTTTAGGGTTCATTTGTGACACTATATGAAGAGTGAGCAGAAAAAGAATAGAAAGTTTTCATTAGTAAACTTGATTATTCTGCAAAAGCATAATGTGGTTTAGTCACCTGATCCCCACTACTATCTGTCATCCCCTCTCTTCCTCTACAGCTTCTTCCCAGGAAGAGACACTGTCGTCTGATAGATGACTCTTGCAGCTTTCATGCACTAGATGTTAACAAATACTTAAGACAATAAAAACAACTTCTGTTAGAATAAATGTCTTGTTTATAATAAATAGTTTTCATTTCCTTAAGATTTTATTTCTCTTGGTGTTTCTTCAGATTTTAGTGTGTTACTTTTAAAAGATTCAGAATTCTTCTTGACGAAACTAAAAAACAAAAACCAAAAAACAAAAACACAAACAAAATAAAACCAAAAAAACCCTTCTTAATTGTTTCTCAAATTTGACAGAATATATTCACTTCTCCCTTCTCCAGTGACAATTATTTTTTTCTTACAGGCTCCCATCATTCTACTTTGCCCATCTGGCTTTTTGTTTGTTTGTTTGTTTCTAGCTCACACCTAGAAATAGGATTATTGCTGAGTGGTGATGGCACACACCTTTAATCACCATTCTAGGCAGGCAAAGGCAAGAGATCTCTGAGTTTGAAGCTAGCCTGTTCTACAGAGTATGTTTAAGGACAGCCAAAGCTACACAGAGAAACCTTGATTCGAAACCACTCCACATTCCCCGCCAAAAACAAACAAACAAACAAAAAACAAACCAAAAAGGAAAATAAAATGAAACAGATTTTAGCCAGGCTTGATGGTACATGCCTTTAATCCAAGCACTTGGGAGACAGAGGCAGGAGAATCACTTTGAGTTTAAGCCCAGCTTAGTCTACTAAGGGAGTTCTGGGACAGCCAAAGATATTAGAAGGAGAAACAATGTCTTAAAAACAACAACCCCCCAAAAGTAGAGATATTGTTTCTAATGGCAGCCTGTAGGATATTGTTTCAAAATTACAAGTTTATGATGCATCAAAAATAGGTGAATTTAGATGTTTAAACACTTACCTCTATGGCCAGCTTCTCTGGGCCCTTGCTGATCATCAGCCCTTCCGTGGTTCTGCAAGTCTGAAGACTTATGGAATCTCACAGTTGTGTAAGTAATCTCCTCATCACCCATTGTGGAAGTAAGTAAACTATAGTCTGTGTTAAAATCTGCCCTTGAGTGATTTCTAAGGAAAAAGTTAAAATGTCCACATTTAGGAAGGTACCTATATCTGATGCTGCAGTGAGGTGGGAAGGGGTGGAGTCTGATTCATTCCCCTAATGATCGAAACACTCTAAATCACATGGACTGACCATGTTTTCCACTGGAGGTGAGAAGTCTTTGAAGATTTCTTTCATTATACACCTAATGTCCTCAGAACTTATTATTAGGAGATACAGAAAGGATTAAAAATTTACTAATAAGTCATTGTAATGTTGACAGAACGCATACATAAAATGTTAGACAAAACTGGTACTACCACAAACCATTGAAATACTTTTAAACTATGAACTGAAATAACAAAAAATCAAAGCTTTCAGAATAAAGAAAAATTTTTGCTTTAAAATTATTTACATGTTTTGATAAACACATGAATGTAAAAATGTTTTTGTAGTCTTTTCAATCATGCATGACTATCAGAGTTTCCTAGACACAACCTTGAAACAATATATGAAATTTAATACTGTTGCTGATTAACATTTTGGGCTGAAAATATACAAATATCTCTCCTGAGATGTCCACACTCTCCACTTAGTCACATCCTTATTATTATTCTCCAGAGTCAAGCCTGATAAATGCATGAAACTAGAGAATACCCTACTGAGTGGGGTAACTTAGACCCCAAAAGACAAATATTGCATGTTTTCTCACATCTGAGGCTTCTGGCTCCAAGTCCTCAGATATGCTACAGAACCTGGAGTAACTGCAGCAACCAGGAAAGTGGAAAGGGGATTGCAGGGGTGAGGTGTGGGAGCAACAGAGAGGGGCATAGCAGGATACCACCTGAAGGTTTAATTTCAAATCATTCCATGTACATGATTATTTCACATATTATATTCTAGTATATGATGTTGCCAGAGGAACCTATATGAAAATAAATTCTGTCACTATGCAGCAATCATTAGTTAATGCCCATAAGGGATCTAATCTGGTACTAGATATCAATGTACTACTGAATAGTAAATATTTGTAACTTACCTTATCCCTGACATTAGTAACTGAGATGACAGGCAGCAGATAATATGGAAAACAAGCTTCATATGTGACAGCATTCTTTATTTTTTTAATTCACGAAGTTTTCTGAAATTACTTATATTTTGCCTTAATTCTTGAGAAAGAGGAACCTTTCTGTTACAGAATTCTTTTCCAAAATCATTATTTATTATTATTGCTGTTGACGGTGAGAGTACCTGAGCCATGGTGCATGTGTCTAGAGGATAATTTAACCGAGTGAGTCCTCAAATTCCACTTTATGAGGGTCCCATGGATCAAAATCAGGTGGTCAGTCCGGCTTGTGTAGCAAGTACATTGAGCCACCTTACCTGGCTCCAATTATGACTTCTTCAAGATGGATAATATATAAACATTTGATCCAGTTAAAGAGTAATGAACTCCATAGAACCCTTCACATTATTATTATTTTTTTTAGCACACAGCAGAAGTCACAGAACTCTCAGAAAGAAAACCAGTGCTGAACTCCAGTTTTCACATGCTGCCAGAGTCAACCAGATCAAACACAACAAAAAAGGCTTCCCCATCAATCCCACTCTCAGGTCACACCATCTGAAATTCTCTAGAGAACATAAAATCATGTGATAGAAAAACAATAAAAGCAGCTATTACCTGTGTTTCGACCCAAAATGATTATTGCTGAAGGAATTGATCCCCAACTGGGGGACAAGTTGGTGTTTTCTGTTCTGTATCCTCTCAAAGGCTCCAAGAGAAAAGGCAGAACTGAATCGCCTCTGAGTGATGTTCAAGCTCATGATTTTCTGCCCCTCCTCTTGACCAAAAAGAAAAGAGGAAATTGCATGATGAAAGCTGATGCTGACGGGTAGGAAAGAACCAAGCTACCATGTCAGATGCTGCAAATCATGTCCATAATCGATATTTGAAGACCGAGAAGATAAATGTATCTGCTAGAAAGTAAAACCAGTATCCTTTTCAAAAACACTAGTAAAAGGAGATGACTGAAGTCCTTCCACTCCTAATTTTGTAGTAGGTTGATTGAAATTTTTTTCTTGCATTACTATTTGAAAAAAATTAAAATTGCTTTCTGTTTTTGAATTATGTTTATTACAGCTAAATGTGTTTTAGGAATTACTTTTAACCACTCACATTTCCGCTATCAAAGTCTTACTGTATGCTCCCCTACCTTTTTATTCATAGAGAATGTTTACAGTGGTCATTGATGTTTTTCCATTTGGAGTGGTCTTATGGCTGATGTTCTCATGGTGATGTCATATCATACCTAAGATATTATGCATGTTCAGAAAATACTCTACCATTGAGTAACAGACTCAGACTTTTGGTTATTTTGTTTTGAGTTTTTTGGTGTTTTTTCTTTTGTTTGATATAGCAATTGTTATATCATACCTATTGAGTAGCGCAGACTGGCCTCAAACTCTGAGTCCTCTTGACTCAGTCTCTTCAGTGCTGGGATTTTAGCTGTATACCACCACACCAATTTAACACCATGTTTCTAATTCAACTTTTCTAATAAATAATAAGTATTTTTGCATTTTATAAATATTGATCTATAAGATTTTTAAAGATATTTAATTATTAATCAATTCTATACAGAACAAATTAAGTAATTAGATAATCTCTTACTGTTGAATATTTAAACTATTTACTTATTTTGTTGTTAATTTAAAAACTATTTGGGCTATACTTTAGAACATACTTAGACATTTTATGCATGAAGTCATGTGATCAAAGGAGATAGACATTTAAGGAACTCTAATATTGATTACCATACACCCTCTATTTCATTTATACTGTATGAATTGTATGTGAAAATAATCACAACTGCTTATGTTTTGAAGCTGAGACAAGGTGAATTTTTCTTCCAAGAGTTTTGCCCATGGATTTGTGATGAGAATTCCTGCAAAGAAGCTTTGTCAGCAAAGAGTGATTTACTGATCACTGATTGAAAACTACAGTGAAGAGGCAAGGTTGGAATGTTGTAGATCCAGAGGCTAATTACTTTGCTATGTGATAGCTTTAGCCCCCTTAACAGCCATTCCTTGCGCACCTGTGTCAGAATTAACATTCTGTAACTAATAGATAAAAACTTGGTGAAATCTATTAACTTAGTAGACCACTAACTTCCACTGGAAGCTAAGAATGTCATCTCATAGCCTATAAAAATTCTTCCCCCATCTTTCTGTACCCACCTCTCTGATGTACTCATGAATATACATTTTATTTTCCTTGATTTATAACTTTCTCAGCTCTGTAAAACTACAAAAGTTCGTGAAAATGCTTCCACATTGAAACATGGTCACTCAAAATGGCTCCAGAAGAAACTATCTTTCCAAACCTGATGGGTTGTTTTTGATGAAATCAATTTAAATTGTTCTTCAAATCAAATGACAGAGGTTAATGGAGCACTGGGGTTGGAGAATGGGGAAGGGGCTGGAGAACAGAAGAGAAACTAACAATACAATGACAAACCTAATCCCACTTGACTATAGCAGAGGTGAACTTCCTGCTTCTCTCTTCCTTTACTAACTTCTAGCCAGCCTTTAATCACTACTCTCTCATCCTTCATTATCTCCCACCTCCAATGTTTCTTCCTAACTGTTTCAGAATTTGCTCCTGTCCTCACCACTAGGTTATGCTGCCTCTGTCTTACATGGCTAGTTTCTGGTTTTTATTTATTTATTTATTTATTTATTTATTTATTTATTTATTTATTTATTTATTTGATTATTCCTTTTGTAGACTTAAAAAAACTTTTAAATTTATTATTATTGTGTCTAATGAGTGTGTGTGAGATTGAATGCATGCCATGGCTTGCAAGTGGGGATAAGAGGACAACTTTGGGAATTAGTTAGTTCTTTTCTTCCACTTTGGGTTCCATGGATCAAATTTGGGGAGGTCATCAGGCTTGTGTGGCTAGTGCTTTTACCAATGGAGACACCTAACAGGTTCCCTTCACGGTTCTTAAACCCTGATATCTCTGAGTCACTACTCAAGTCTAAAATTATTGTATACCAGACGTCCCTTGAAACAGTTCACAGACATTATTTCATCTCAACAGTGTGAGACAATTTTATTGGGTTCAATGTGGATGCTTCCAGAATACCTCTAGTTAGTTACTTTTTTTCTCCACTCCCACATCCTAGGGCATCCTTCTATCTCTTGTCTACACACACACACACACACACACACACACACACACACACACACACACCTTAAGACTAAATAAATATAGCCTGGGTTTTAGCTTGCCACAAAGTATGGATCTGGGAGCTAGAGAGACTTGAGTGGAAATACCAACAAGCTCCTGTGACTTCAGGTAAATCAGATCATTCACAAAGTCTTTGACCACAGCAAAACAGAAACGCACTTTCCCTCCAGGATTGCTGTGAAGATTTAACAAGATATACAGATACACAAATAGCTTTTTGTTTTGTTTTATATTTTCCTTGTTTGTTTGTTTAAGAGAGGTCTCACTACATTGCCCTGCCTGGACTCACAAGTGATTGGATTAAAGTGTGAGCCCAAGTTTCACAAAGTTTTTAATCACAACCTGGCCAATAGGATGGTAAACATGCATTCAACATTAAACATTATTATTTGTAGTCCACGACTCCAATCTTTCCTTACTACATAAATTTGAGCAAAACACTGAATCTTCAAACCTTTTATTCCCCACATGGTCATTAAGTGTGTCAGATCCTCCCTAGGGATGGAATAATTGCAATCAGGAAGATAGAGAGAAGCTCTTAGGTTTCAAAATACCTATTTTTTGAGCTTTGTAGAATGCAGAAGCTTCTCTCAGCCACAGGATGAGCTAGGTTTTCTACCTGACCCTGTCAAAGAGTGCAGATGTTTGGAAGACAGAATAGGGATGGTCCATGAACCAAAATGAGGAACTGAGAGATCTTCAGCAGTGAGCCAGT